TCAGCTCAATGCGAAGCAACTGTGGTCCTTCGCGTTAAACGCCGTCCTCAATGACATCAGACGCAAGAAACCTGGTGTATCGTACCTGTGCGAGCGAATGACCGGCATGCGCCGTGTTTTAGGGCTTCAATACAGGGACAATCTAGACCTTCTGGACGACGCTGAGATGACCGAGTACTCAATGCTCCTAATAACCTTCTCCTTCGAGGAAATGACCGAGCTGAGCAAGCTGTATTATTGGTATGATCGAGCCGCCGATCTCCAACCGTGAGCACCCCGTAGAGCTTCAGTTGTTGGTTCTAATTTGTTCTCCGCCTTTGTAGGACAGGGTATACGTGCGACAGCTGTGACGGTGTTATCATGCGATCTCGAGTTGTCTGTCTGGACTGCGTCGGCGAAGACGACCCCACCCGAACCGTCAACTTCTGTTACGAACCCGACTGCATCGCTGCGGAAAGCCTTCCCGAACGAACGGATGTAAAGCACCTCCCATCACATACGATGATACTACTCCGGGATTTCTTCCTACTCAAAGAATATGCCGTGACTAAAGAGCAGGCTGAATATTCCCTCGAATACGCTCGAGAAACATACAAGGATCCGAAGTCAGACTCCAGTGGATCATCTGTTGCCGACGATTCAGACGAGTCAAACTCAGAGGATTCAGCCTCTTCCGAATCCGAGGCCAACGAAGATTCGACACCCACCGCCGCTACCATATCGGCCGCAGTCACGACTACAGGGGAAACTGCGGATAAGGAAGATACGAAGGAAACGGTTGACGAAGACGAAGATGAGGATGAGCACGATGAGAGTTTGAATTGTGCCTTCTGTCATGAACACGTGGTGACGCCATGCTGGTACTGCAATTACTGCGAAAGTGAGTGGAATCTAACCTCTCCCCGTCATCGACGCAGCTCCTGACCTTGCAAACATTTGCCACAGACGCATGGGTATGTGATTCATGCGAGAAGACCGTCAACGATTTGTTGCCGTGGGATTTCCAAAAGCGATATCGTGCCGAGATGGGAAAGTTGACCGCAGACGATCCAAACACCCACACAATTCTCCATACTCTGGTTCGGGTTGCGCGCGCCAGCGACGAAGACTCGGAGGCCAAACCTGACGAAAAAGACGCCGCTGCCGATTCAACACAGGATCTCCCGTCTCCTCCGGGCCAGTGGGAACAGGTCGAGAAGCGGATTCAGGAGCTTGTCGCTGCGCGCTTCGAAGCATTGAACAGCCATGTCGATAAACGACTGGACGCCGTCGATAAACGTTTAGGAGAGGTGGAATCGAGGCTCACGAATGGGCTCGGCAATATCGAGCGCTTGTTGAACTCGATTACTGCGCAGGAGACTCCGCCATAGTTTCAATCTTAGACCGGTTGATTCTTCATCTAGGGGTGTCTATCCATCTAGGGGTGTTTAAATATGCGAGTCTCCATGGTTCTACCCCTTAGGTCGTCACAAATCAACTTGTGAGCACTTACATAAATAGTAAGAGGTACAAGAGCGCTGTGGGCCGCGAAGCACATCGGTCGAGTAATTGACCCAACGGTGATGATCCAGAGAATCGGGGCCGATCTCAGGCTACTCAAAGCGGAGATTAAAGGTATTCCACAAAAGATCAACTATCTTCGGCGCCGTCTAGCTCAAGGATTCCATTCATATTGAACGAGATCGGCTCTTCGATTACAGAATATCAACCTCTGTCATTCCCTAAACAAACCTAGACTCGTGACCAGTCTGCGCTACGGCAATCCTTAGTGCAAGGACTTTGCCGTAGGCAAAGTGCTGCAAAGTGCTGGCACTAAGAATTGTGGAGTACATTAGCAGACTGGTTACAAAAACGCGAAAGGTTACAAAAAAGCTACTCCGCAAGGAATAGTTATTGGTCGTCGCAGGGGAGATGTCATGGAAATTTGAGTAATTGACGTAGATTGCAACCATACGTCCAAAAAGTATGGGTCTCCATGGTATCAACTCACGCATTGAGGATATTTCGCGACATACCCGATGTAAGCTCCGATCAGAGCCTTCCCACTGATTCCATGCATCGATTGTGTGCTTCAATTCGAAGGTCCAGGGAGGCCACACGCTTGCAGGTAAGAGTGTCGCAGCACCAGGGCTCCAGGAGCATGAATCAATGTGATGTTGGCCACTGGAATAATCATCATTTCGGGACAATATCCGAGGGACGCGGACTTGAAGGTGCGCATGCGAACAGGACCTGGTTATCGGACTCCCGGTTTTTTATCAGCAGATCAGTAGGGTGTCTAAGGACTCCAAATGGAATATTGGGAGAGGTTGGTTTTGGAATTCTTTCAGTCGATGAAGAGCATCGAGCCAAAGGGTTTTCTGGGACTTTATTTTGGGAATGACATGGCAGAGCTGAGACTGGATATGGGTTGCTTCTTTACTGGGGATAATCCACAACTCACCGAAAGAAACCTGAGAAGATCAACAACATCTAGATACCGGGTGAGCTCTAAAGTATGACCTGAGGAAAGTCGGTGAAACAAAGAGCCATAGTCGTCAGTAAGGAGGTGCCGAGGTACAAAATGCGAGGTACGAGCATGCCGTTGTAATATGTTTGTCTAGGAGAGACTAGCGCGGAGGCGATGCTTGTGCGATGCCCCTGCCCCTGTCCTGGACCTCTTCATTCCGGCTTCAGAGATCTCGGCCTTCGGCTAAACGCTTGAACTTGGCGACGCTGTTCAATCACGACTGCGGCCATTGGATACGAGGCAGATATTACTTTAGATGCGAGGTAGCGTCCATTTCACGAACAAGTTAATCAGTACAAATGGATTTTCATCGGGCAGCGGGTATGTCGCAGACAACTGGGCGTGAAATCTGTTTTGGTCACTCTTTGCCCTTTGCGTCGTGCAAGTATCCTGCCCATAAGAAATATTGTTTTTGGGAGATAAACGGTGGTCTACACCAGCATGACTTACCTGCCCTCCGACTTCCATACAGAAATTGCCTGTTTGAATGCTCCAGTTGAGACTCGAGGCACGAAGCAAATAAAAATGCTTGGTGGTGGGGATCACTGGTTTATATCGGCAACAATCAGGGCCTGTGCCATCCGGAGCCGCACTCGGATTTTTTGTTTCGAACCCGCAAAGTATTACTTCAGGATATTAGGGTTGAAGTTAATGTTAAGAAAGGCTTTGTGGTGAATGGTCCACGTCTGCATCTATAACGCAAACATCAGCCTAAAGATAAGCAGAAAGAGCCCTTTTGAATCGGACTTAAGCCATTTGCCAATACTATGTCTGTCTTTTTGTCACTGCTTTTTGGGTTTAGACAATTTTGCATTGAGAATTCAGTTTGTGAGGAAGACAAGGATTAGAGACCTGCGTGTGTCGTACTTTACTCAAAGTTGTCACGACGAGTGCGCTTCGTTGTTCCTCGGGACCCGGAAATATGTGTTTCGACTTTCGAAGAAAACAGGTGTTTAAAGACGAAAGATGTCAAGGAGAGAGAAGGCTTGGTCGTGGATGGTCCACATCTGCATTCCTTTCAGAATTCGCGGGCGCTGATGTAGGAAGAGCTCGTTTAATTCGGGCTCAAGCCTTTTTTTTTTTTTTGAAAGTCCACCTCGCTTCTTTTTCTTGCTGTACGAAAAGAATTGGTGGTGGAGGGTTCAGCTTCAGCTTTTTTTTTTTTTTTTCGCTCGTGGGAAATACGGGCAGAAAGCTCCAACGGCCCAAGCCATTCGCTGGATCTCGCATTCGTCTTCTTCTTCTTTCTCTTTTTATTCTTAGCTCTTTTTTGTGTATGGAGGAAAATTCAGTTGTCAGGGATGACAAAGACAAGACAATCAGGAACTTCGATGTTTCTTCGTGCTCGGGAGTGTTGTGTTTCTGTCTTCACCCAAGGATCCTTGCCGAGGAGAGTGTGTGGCGGAAGAAGTTCAGAAATTTTGCAGGAGAGTGCAATATCGGGGGTAATTTATTACTCAAAGGTGTGGAGAGAAATGATCCTCGCCAGTTCGGTCCACGCTGATCCAGAAAAGCTCGAATCTGACGGATCAATTAATTTTTGCTCACTTTGCAACAATACCTACGTATATAGGAGAGGTCGGCCCAAGAAAAGAAAGGTCTTGGTGGTGGATGGTCCACATCTGCATTCCTTTCCACATGTCTTTGAAGACTGATGAGGTTGGCCCTAGAAGAGAAAGGTCTTGGTGGTGGATGGTCCACATCTGCATTCCTTTCCACATTTCTTGGAAGACTGATGCAGGAAAGAGCTCGTTCGATTCGGGCCCAAGCCATGGAACTCTTTTCCAATCTCTTTTTCTTGTGCTTCATCTGCTTATACTTGGGCCACAGAGATTTCTTAATCTGGGGTGGAGCGGGTTCCTGTAAGTCTGGGAATGGCTCGAGCGCGGGATGTGATGCATTGTAATAGACGCCCATTGCTAGAAATTATCAAAGAAGTTCCCTATTTGGATGCTCGAGGGATTAGTCGCCGTGTTTCAGGTAAGGTCTAATACAGTTACAAGGCTCGGTGGTGGATATAGATGGTCCACATCGGCAATGATTCTCATTCCTTGTGAGTTCAGCTAAACAGTCTTGATGGAGAAAGCCATTCCGAGTCCACCTCTTGCAGTTTTGTCGCAAACTGGCAAAGCATTCAAGATATTTGGGTTGAAGTTATAGGCAAGAAAGGCTTGATGGTGGATGGTCCACTTTTACCTTCGTACCCAAGTGCAATACACTAGAAACACAAACCGAAAGAGCCTGTTTGATTCGGCCCAAGCCATGGGTTAAACCTTCGCCATGTTTTCTTTTTTGCTCCTTTTTCGGGTTTGGATGATTTACGTTGAGACTTCGGCTCTTAGGGAAGACAGCGTGAGTTGTTCGATGACTCTTGTGTGTTCAGGATTATTTCTGCGCTTCCACGGTTCCTCCGAAATATTGTGGTTCTGAATCACTTTTCAGAGAGCTTGAACATGGGTATTTATGGATGAAAGTTGTGAAGGAGAGAAAAGGCTTGGTGGTGGATGGTTCACGTCTGCATACCGTAGAGGGTTAAACTCGAAACGGTCCAGTAAATGCAGAAAGAGCTCGTTCGGTCCGGGCCCAAGCCATAGCATTGGCAAGGATGTCTTTTTTTTGGTTCGAATTGCAGAGATACGTTGTGCAGTGAGTAAGTTACTGTGTCCTTGAGTTGGGAATGACTCGGCAAAGAGTACGGGATGTGTTACATATAGAGTGAGGCTGGAAGTTGACACGAGCGAAGTTGGTACGCCCCAGCAGTCAGTGGAATTGTCTTAGATCTGATGTCAAAATTGGGTGGACGTACATGGCTCTGTGGTGGATGGTCCACATTTGCATTCCATTGTAAACCCTCGTGGACGTTACTGCAGAAAGAGCCCGTTCGATTCGGGTCTGAGCCATGCTCCGCTGTCAGCGCTGTAATTTTTTTTCCCATTGTGCCCAAATGATGTTGCATTAAAAATTCGGTTTGCAGTTTGCAGGGAAGACAGCTTGAGTTATTTCGATGTGGAGGATTTTTTTTCCTCTTTTTCCTCTTGCATGGTTCCTTGGGAGATTGTGGTTCAATTCTCAAAGATGATGGATAGTTATTGACGAAAGGGTGAAGCAGAGAGAAGGCTTGGTAGTGGATGATACACGGCTCCATTTATTGAGCTGCTGCATGCGTCCATTAGAAATACAACCGCAAGAGTCGTTCGATTCGAGCCTGAGCCATGTTTAGATCAGTCGGGACCAGCCTTTTTTTTTTTTTCTTCGGCGTTGACTGTTTCGTGTCTTTTGCAGGGAGGACGCATGTGGACATGTTGAGGGGATCTTTCATTCACCAAAAGGCCTTTACCGTTTTTTCTTCGAATATTGTGTTCAAAAAGCATTTGCTTGAGGTCCGATGATCCAGGTCAATGGGTAATAGTCAAGTCTTTTCAGAGTTTGCATAAATTCCAACCTCCTACGTATTTTTTTCCTGCACAAGCCCTGCGATGAGCGATGTTGGCGTGCTATGGCGCCTGGGGTGGGAAATTGATGCCCATTGGGGTAGATCAGTGTGGTTGCCAATAACACAAAATTGGAGAGTCAAGAAAACATTAGGGTCCAGGACCAGCGTAAAGCAGCAGATTATGACGCTGAACAGTTGATGCGGCCCTCGCTCGAAGCAAGTTGAACTTGTGGTTGAGTTCGGCCGAATGGCCGAAGCTGACCCAACCTCCTTCGGCGATCACTTGGCCGATATCTTTCTTTCCTTCTTCCTTTCACCAATCCACCATGTCCTCTCAAACCTCGTCACCGTCACGGGCGCCCCGCACTTCTAATCCCTTCTCTCCGCCGACCTCAACCACGTCTCCTTCATCAACTTCTGGGCTCCATGGGCGGCTCCATGCACGCAGATGAAACGCTGTCGTCACCGAGCTCGCGAAGAAGCACCCCGGCGTCCTGGCGCTCAACGTCGAGGCCGAGAAGCAGGCGAATATCGAGGAGTCGTTTGATATCGAGGCGGTTCCTTGGTTTGGCATCTTGCGGGTGCGTCTACGCTCCACATCTATTCGACTTGTATGTAATTTTTCGACGCGTAGGAACCCACCCTCCTCGCCTGAATCGCAGGCGCAGACGTCCCAGCACTCCCTAAAGCCATCGCAATGCACGCAGCCTCCCCCATCCCCACCTACGCGCCCAAATCGCACACGGACGCCGCGCCGCCGGCTGCGCAGAACGGGGACTACGCCGCGCCGCAGAATGAGACGCCCGAAGAGCTCGACGCGCGCCTGTGGTGGCTCATGACGCAGAGAAAGGTCGTTCTGTCTATTAAGGGCACCCCAGACGAGCCCCGGTGTGGGTTTAAATTTAGTCGCAAGCTGTCGACGCTACTGAAGGAGCAGGAGGTGCAGTTTTCGAGCTTTGATATTTTAAGGGACGAGGATGTTGGACAGAGTGCGTGTTTGCTGTGTCTTCCTTTCTTTGCTGCGTCTTCCTCTTTATTTTTATCCTCTTCTTCCTTGTCATTTGGATTTTCTTTCCCCCGATGTTCATTATTACCCGTGTTTGCATCGCGGATTTTGTCTCCATCTGGCCAAATCCCCGCCCCCCATTCTTGCATTCTTGTTCTCCCTCTGCCCGCGACGTTCATTACTCCCCTTTTTCATCTGGTCACATTTCTTCCTCCTCCCTTCCCTCATTCCCTTCTCCTCTTACTAAAATCCCACAACCACACAGGCCGCAAAAAACTCAGCGACTGGTCCACCTTCCCCCCTCGTCAACGGCGAGCTCGTCGGCGGGCTCGACATCATGCAGGGGATGGTCGAGACCAGGGAGTTTAAGGAGGTCGTTGGGGGTGGGTGCCTACGGGCGTGAGCGAGCTTATATGCCAGGGAAAGCGCTGTTGGTGCGTAGCGAGCACCGTGGGCGAGCGGACAGTGGGCGCTGAGGGCGCTGAGGGAGCTTATGCGTTGCGTGGTCGATGTTGGATGGCAGAGGCACCTACTTGCGTGTGTTTTGTTTCCCCCTTCTCGAGTCGCTATCAATTACAATACATTGGCATCTCTGGCGTTTTATAGCGCGATGTGACTGCGTACACCGCCAGTCCAAGCGAGTCGACAGAGCTTTGATCACATCGGTTTAAGTTCATATGTAACCGGTAACTGATCGAGTCCGAAAAATACCCAATCCCAGCTCCCTTCAGCCGTGTTTGCTTTATTCATGGACCAAGGCAGTGAAGGCGTCCAAATTTTCCAAACTATTTGTTGTAATAGGCAGGGAAGGGAAGACCCATAGCGGTGGTCCGCACCTGCACTCTGTTGCTGGTGAAAAGTGTAATTTTACAGCAGGCAACCGTTCGATTCGCGTAGGGTCATTTGGTGGCAGAGCCTGCAACAAGCTTTTTGCAACTCGCTGGTTGAATTTGGTCCAACTTATTATGGGGAAGTGTATGGAGAAGAAAAACCCGTGGCGCTGGTCCGCGCCTGCCTCTCATAATGGATTCTAGAATATGGAAGCAGGTCCCCGTTCGATTCGGGGTTGGGTCATGGAATTCCGTTGACTGCACGCCTTTTTGCTGCTCCCCTCTTAGGTTTTATAAGCTTACCGAGGTTTACAGACGGGTATAGCATGACTCATAGCGGTAGTTCACGCCCTGGTGTACGAAGAAATATAGCAGGTACCCACTCGATTCGAAGTCAAGTCATTGCGCTTGTATACTTTTTTTTTGTTACTCAGCATTCCATTGCTTCCTAATTCATTTGAAGCAGGGGGGGGAAAGCCCGTGGCAGTGGTACGTACCTGCTCTCTGTAAGCACACAAGAAAGTGGCTCTACAGCAGCTCGATTCGGGGCTGGGTCATGCGGGTAGCCATGTTTCTTACAACCGTCATCCAGATTTTTTATCCAATTCACCTAGGTTGAAAGGTAGGGAGAAGAACACCCATAGCGGTGGTCCTTACCTGCATTTCTTTGAGGGTTTGTAAGGGATTGCACCAGGCGCCTGTTCGATTCGGGTATGGGTCATTTCGGTAGAGGAATTGTTTTTTCCACTGGTCGTTGCTCAGTTTCTCTTTGAAAATTTTGGAGAGAAGAGACTCCTGGTCCGTACCTGCACTCTCTGCGCTTTCCCGAAATTTACAGCGGAATACCTATTCGATTCGGGGTTGGTGGTTATGTACACTTTTCCCTCCCTCGTCTGTTGAACTCAAGTTTATCAATTTATTCACGGTGGGAGTATTATTCACAGTAAATTGTGGGAGAATAAGACCCATGAGGGCGATCTGCAGCTGTGCTTTCTACTTCTGAGCTAAGAAGAAGTTACAACAGGTGCCTGTTCGATTGAGGGTGGTTCATAGTTCTGTTATGCCGGAAGCTTTTTTCAAACTTACAAGGGACCGTAGCGATGGTACCTGGCCTCCGTTGGAATGCTCCAGAAATATATTGTATTGTAAATGTTGAAACTTTGGTATCACAGGACCCGGGGAATTGTTCACTGGCTATGGGACATAAGTACTAGTCGACAGTAATTAAGGTATGAATGTAATCTGTCAGGTACAGGAATGAACGGCAGGGACCTGGTAACAAAGTGCGCCGCGGGGCAGTGTGCGCACATAACTCGTAACTTCAACATCGATCCCGGGGGTATTTCGGTGGGCGTTAGACTCGCGGACGCCTCTACAGCAGAGACATCTCTCTCTGGTTTTGAATTTGACGACAAGAACGAGGGTTCGATCTTGAGTCCAACATTGGAAAAAGAAAACGGGCGACGTCATCATCCCGCCCGTTGAGATAAGAGAGTGCCTCATATTTCCATCATATATACACATCTAACCTAGTCCTCCGGATGCCCTGGTGCGGACGATCCACTATTACGATCGGGCGACCCACGATTACGATCGGATGCTCGATTGGCAAGAGCACGCCACTGTTTGGCTGGGTGACACCCCCTCATCCGGGATGTCCTGGCGCCTGTAGATGATCACCCCGCCATTGAGCGAGCTGGTAGCAACCTCTGCAGGGATATCTTGGCGCCCGTAGAGGCTTTTGCTGCCATTGGGCACGCGCGGCACCTATTCTACTCATTCAATATGCTGAACCACGAGAAAGTACAGAAGGGTATACACACCCGAATCGCAGCGCCGTTGGCGAGACTCACAGCACAACCGACAATGATAAAGCTTTGGAACAACATTTCGGTTGTGAGGAACCGAGATCGAGGAGCTGGGTGTGCCTGCTTGTGGACGTGCATTTTAAGGCCTGTCAAAACAATTTTAGAGCGGTTTCATTTAGGTCGTCGGGGTAGGAACCGAGTACAGCGCTCTTTGACTATCAAAGTACTGTCGAGCGGTACTAGAAGGGCTGGGGTATTGAATTCAGTCGGCCAACGGTCCACCTACCGAACGCCACCAAATCCACATCTTAGGTGTGGGTCCGATGAAGAATAAAACGGAAATGTGAAAGCAACAATGTCTTCGAACTTACGGTGTCGGCATAACCTCGGTACCTTATGGTGGCTATTGTTCCTAATAAGTGAGAAGTAAGAGAATAAATAGAAGACAATTGGACCGTATGGGAAAATATCTGTGGATGTGTTATGAGGAGAGGACGGACGACCACAAGCGAATTTTCTGCGCACTGCGGCTCAGCAGTCGAGATATTCGCTTTCTCCAATTAATAATGATTGCTCCCAACAGGCACCCCGATGCACTGCACGCCCTCGACCACCCGGAGACAATTATGACGACATGTGTTGTAAATGGGTGTGAACCAAAGTTGGCGCGCCTGCCGAGGTAATCCAACTTTTCTCACAAATCAAATGACAAGAACGTCTATCGTTTTTGGTTTAGCTGTAAAAGCAAACCTGCCGAGCGGCAAAACCCGCGGCAATCTGAGGCTATTTCCGGCGACATGAAGCACTCGGTAGGTAGTAGGTA